TGAGGCATTGAAATGGATATTATATTAATACGTTTACTTTTGGGGGAATCTAGGAAGCGCTTATGGAAGAATATGCAATTGCAGCCCAAGTGTGGAAGCTGAGCACGTGCGACCTGTGTGAAATCGCCAGGAACAGCGTGCTGCAGAGCGGCCTCTCGCATCAGGTGCGGCATGGGACGGCCCTGTCTCTCTGGGCCTTTCAACAGGTGTATGATGAGTGCCTGAGTCCCTGGTACTTTGCCGGCTCTGGGACCAGTGAGGAAGAGGACAATCAGGGCCTCTGTCACACTGAAATCTATCACCTGTAGGGAAAAATCCTGAGGAGACGTCTGAATTTTCCTGGCTGCTCTGTCACTTTTTTCAGACCTCAACTCAAACGTTCCCTCCTCAGAGGCTGTTCCTGATCATTCTGCAATAGACACACTTGCCATTATTCTCCATCCCTTTAATCTACTTTTCTTCATGTTTATTACTTACATTGTAATATGTAGTTAGGTGTTTTTCTGCATTTCCTTCTAGAATGGAAGTTCCATTGGGGAGGAGACTTTGTTCAGCATTCTATCCCTAGGCCCTAGAAGAGTCCCTGGCACATCCGAGGCACTTACTATTTCTTGAATAGGTGAATAGTACTTAGGTTGAACAAAAAACTCTAGGGATGGGGCTGGACATCAGTGATTTTTTTTTACAGCTTCCTCAGTGATTCTGATGTACACGGTTGGGACCCATTGCTCTAGATGGTGTCCCAGGTACCCCCTCTGGGTTATGTCACTGGTATAGGAAGAGGGGTGTGTTGGTGCTGCTCTTACTGATGCTGGTGCAGGGGAGTTAAAAGCTGCAGATTCACTTTGTGCGCTTGGTTCCTGGGACTGTCTGCTCTTGCCAGCTCTCAGGAGACACTTCTTAGAGTCTTCACCTTGCCTTTGTCCTCCCCAGCAGTCATCTTTCCTTTCTGATCAAGGGAGGCATAGTCAGAAATGAAGGGAATGAATGTGGTTGTCAGGGTGACATCCTTGAGGACATGGCGGCCAGGAGTTTCCTAAGAGCCCTGTGGGGAAAGAGTCCGGATGGAGGACCTGCCTCAGGGGCATGTCTGATTTGGTGCGGCTATAGAAAGTGCATCTAAGGCATACTGTTTCAGTGGTATTTCTCTTGGTCCTCAGGAAAAGCAGAAGTTTCTGGGACAATATTATTATAAAGAAGGACCTGAAGGAAATGATATTCGAAAGACAAATGTTGCTCAGATCCGGATGGCGTTCCGATACGAAACCTTATGCAACGAGCTCAGCTTCCTGTCCGATGCCATGAAATCTCAGGAGATCACAGCCCTGACTAAGTAGGTCCAACACTGGACATGCATTTTAACTTTCTGGTTTAACTTCAAGTCTACTGTGATTAACAGTGGTCAAGATACCACGCTAGGAATTGTCCTCCAGGGAGAGGATGCCTCTGAAGAACTTTCAAACCTAGTGATTTTGGTTGCACTGTTCACTTTAAGATCCAACATGCTCACTTCTCTTCGTATTTTTTGAGTAATAGATGGTGACTCCTCCTTGAGGATCTGGGAAATGGGCATTGTCTGTACTCATTCCTCGTTTTCCAAATATTTCTCTTGAAACCACTTGTGCTTGCATCGTTGGGGCCAGGATAGTCCACGGTCCCAGTGCCTACTGACGTGGGATCCCCATGGTTTTCTGCCGTAGTCTGCTATAGGCCCTGCAGGCTGGCTGGCCGTTGTTCATTTCAGCCTCTGGCTGGCTAGCTGCCTTAAACCAAATCAGTTTCAAAGCTCCCTTTCATAAAGGAACTACTTTGAAAGGATTAAAATAGACAACTTCCTTCTTTGCATTTTTTATGAATTTCTTAAACTTTTTATTTAGCCTTCCACCCTCCCTTCTAGTTAAGAAGCCAAATGTGCACATTGAAACAGTCACTGCTATTCTGTGTCTTGGTTTTCTTATCTGAAAAGAGGGGGTTTGGACTAGATGGGAGGTTTTCAAGTGGTGTTCTGTGAATCCCCCTCCCAATTTCAGGGTGGCGGGGGCAAGGGGAGCAAGGGTGTGGGTGCTGCTTTTGCTTCTTCGAAGTGACTCTGCTTTCATCAAGTTTTTCAAGGGGACTTTGATGTGTTTTCATTTGAACTGAGGACTTGGAAAAGCACTGGACTAGACAGTCTCTTCCTTTTGGCTCTAATACGCTATGATTGTAGCCTAATTATTATTTCACTTGTGAAGAATTAGGGCCAGAGAAGTGAGATTGACCTAAGCTCACCCAGGTAATGAATAACAGGACTAGAGCTAGGTTTCCCTACACCTAATCCAGTCCTTTCTCCACTATTCCATGAGGCCTCGTAAGTGTTGTAATTTTTATCATTGTAGCCTGGTGCATTTCTTTTTAAAGGCAAAATTTCTCCCTTACTTAATACACAGACTTTTTCAGAAGATATAAGTGGTCCCAGGGGCCAGGTAGAAAGTATTTTTTAAGACTGATCTGAATTTAAGCTTTATCAATGTGCTAGCCATCTGTGTTCCTAGTGCCTGGGACATAGCAGGTGCTCAATAAATGGATGAATGAATGAATTTCTCTTTTGGCAACTTTTTAAGGGTATGTGCTCCTACTACACAACACACTGCTCAAGGACCTTCTTGTCTGTTACTGTGGGCAAACGCGGACTGTGGGACAGCCTTCTGAATCATGGGGATGGAAAAAACCTATTTTTGCCCGTGAAAATGCTTATTTAACCTCAGAATTTCTTGTACTGTGACTTTATTTTATAATGCTTATCCCTTCCACTGGTCAACTTAGCATATGGAATGAACGTAGTTTTCTTTTTTGTTTTTGTTTTTTTTTAAATTAGGCAAACACCTATTCTGTCTTACAGCTAATCAAGAAATTGAATGAAAACCCAGCATTCATTATTTTTGAAAAGCCTCCATTTGTATACATTTGCCCTGGTGTCACAAGCATTATACAGTTCTTCACTGTTGTGTTATCTGTACCAAGTATTTGTTTTTAATTTTAAATAAAGTCTGTTAGGACAATGGATTAATAATTTAAAACTATTTCAAGTTAATACCATTTAAAGAAAATGTTTAAGTATTTTTACTGTAAGAAAGGTCTGGGCATCATTAAAAGCTATCAATAACTACCAAGTGATTTTTAACTAAGACTCAGACATGGATGACATTCACTAGGAAAACTAAAAAGTTTCAAACTGAAGCTCATCGGACCCAGAAGGTAAACCTTTGCTGTCTTTTTCTCTAACTTCTGCCACACATGTTCATTTCCTTTTCCCTGGATATTACTTTAATCTGTTCAACCAACACTTACTGCACTTCACTTGTCCCGCAAACTTGCACCTTCCTTTTTCTGTAGCACTTTGCATTATTACTTCATTATACCTAACTGGCCTTTTTAGGGGATGGATCCTACTTTCTTGCATGAAATCAAAAGTGACTATGTTTCTAAAAGAATAGTTTTGAGGCATGTTATCCCTTACTCTAAAAGGCTCAACTTCATGTTCTATGTTTCATACTTCGAACTGCATTGCTGAAATGATCAATGCCATGCCGTTCACTGCCTTTTGTCTCATGAAAACAAATCACAGCTCCTGTGTCAGTATCTACCAAGGCCTGTCCTGGGCCTTTACTTCCTCATACCCTGGATTAAAGGAGAACTGTAAACCATCCCTCTGGGTTTCTCTTTACTTGTTTCTGAGTGCTGTGTTGGTGGAACAATATTCACCTTTTTCTGGATTTGTAGACACAGCTGAACCTAAGTATTTTATACCTGAACAATGACTATTATAATGAACAAGTATAACTCACTACAATAAAAGGCACACTAATCAGACAAATACAGTTCCTTGGGACTTTTTACTCCCTCAACCTCTAAATACATATTTTATTAGAAAGATAGAGAATGCCAGAGAATAAGACTATAAACAGCTACAAGATTACATATCTGTGGAGGCTTTTGTCTTTTGACACCAAAATGTATTCTTCTTCATGGTGATATATATATCAGTAAATTGAGTTATAAACTACCATTCCTTATAGATGGCTTTCCCCTTCTCAGCACTAAGAATCTAATATGCTTCTGTAATCACAATAATTTTATCTTAGAAATGATTTTACGAGGACTATTGTGTCAATTAGTTTTACTGTCCAATAGGATAAAAAGATACGCCGAAAGTCTGTGTATCTGTAACCTGTTTGTATTGTGTTGTCATTGTATTGTCCGGCATAACTGTGGGTGAGCAGCTGACTTCTCTAACCTTCACGTGGTTTCTTATTCCTGGGTAGATTAGGTAAGCTGGACTTAATGAAGAAGAAATGAGTTAAAAGTGCAAATTCTTTGAACTGCCCTTTAATAAATCCAACTTCCTGATGTTAAAAATCACTGAATCAAAAGATATTTTCCAGGAGCCTCATTATGCAGCTATGTATTAGGTATAAAAAAGCTGAGTCCAGTTTGAAATGAGTTTGTACCACAAACCCCCAGGCACAATGCAAAACAGTCCTTTAAGGAACATAAACATTAGTATATGAGAATGTGAAATGCCATAAGGAAAAAATCTCTTCCATTAACTAAAATTTACGTGCTAAAGATTATTTATTGCACAATATATCAGTTTATCCTAAGAATAAAACAGCTACTATTATTCTCAACTTCTAAATTCAGTACATAGTCAAATTCATTTTCTTGAACTAGAGTTCTTTAGCATTATAATGAGTAAACCCTTTGTTACTGAGTTAGGGTAGGGGAAATTTTATAACATAAAAATAATTCCTTAAGAGTTCATGAAATCATTTCACAAATCATAGAAGGCACATTATATTTCCTATCATAGTAAGTGCATTTAAGTACTTCATAATTAAAAAAGACAAAGCTATACAATACAAAAAGTATACATTTTATCCATTAAACATATTTACAACTTTTATGATTAGTTATTATAACAGAACATACCTAATATTCACATCTTAAGAATTATCACCCAGTTTAATGGAGTGAACAAAAAACAGCTCATTTATTAGATAAGGCTAATAATAACATTTTATATTTCACAGTAGATCAGTTAGTTTCTTGGAGTTCATATTGACAAAAAGGTTTGGGCATTGTCAAGTTCCTGTGCTCACTGTTAAATAACTCCTTGAAAGGTGAAAGATTCTGGGGGATAAAATTACTGGCTATAGCTGAGAAAGATCCAAGAACCTGTAAAGCAACTCTGCTCATTTTCAGAAATGTTCTTAAATTAGGCAATCTGAATTGGATTTAGCAAGTCTAATCCAAAAGGACAATTTAAAACCTTAGAGCTAAAAAAGGTATCAGGGGATCATCTATCCCAACATTTTCAAAATATGTTCCATGGAATACTAACGCTCCATGGAGAAGAGTCAGGGTTCTGCAAATTTGACTTGAATTTAATTTCATTTTTTGAAAAAAAATTTAAAAAATAAATCCCATCATACAACTGTGTTACCAAATTCTATACACTGGGTATCACCAATGCATTAATAATGCCTGTTTTCACTGATTGACTTTCTAATATTTAGTGTTATAATATATGAAGTTTATATAAAGAAATTCATATTGATAAAATATGAATTTATAAAGTGGTATAGGGTGTGTGCGTGCATGTAGCTCATGTATATATGGGTTCTGAGTAAGATTTTACTTGGGAAAAAAAGATTCTACTGCTGAAATAAAGTGTGAAAACCACAAATAAGGTCTCAGTTTCTAAAGGGGGAACCTACAAACCAGAGGAAGGGACTTCTCAAGGTCACACAGCCATAAAGGACACTGCCAGGTCAGTACGGTAGAGCTCTCAGGACTCTGCATAATTATCCATAGTGAGTGTTAGCTATTTGGTACTGATCTGCCCCCATCATGAATGTCAACCAATTAGCAGTATTTTGGGGGAAAAAGTCAAGCCGCCTTTGGTCAGACATTAAAAATGAATTACTTAATTTGCATGACTACTAAAATCCTAGTATCCAAAAATTCTGCTACCAATAAGCAGCAACTTCAATTATATACTTTGGTACTTCAGGAAATATTTGCAATTTACAAAGAAGTCAGAAAAGTTATGTGGAATGTTAACATTCTTTTAAAAGGAGACAGCAGGCCCTCGCTTTATGACATGCTGACATAAAAATGTTTAACATAAAACAGAAATTTTACTTTATATGCAAACATTTTTAAAAAGATGGTTGAAGTGACACTGAACATTATAATTCTATTTGACTATACTCTTTCAAATGAAGTAAAATGAAACAGTAAGAAAGCCAAATTATCTTCTAATATTCAGAGGTGTTTTTATGTACATAGAGTTAAAAGGCTACATCCTATTTTCTTCTCTCTTAATTTAAGAAGTTTGTGGACTTGGCCTCAGAAAGATGCTTTCAAGTTAAGAAAATAAAAGCACCATAAACCAATATTGAATGATTTTTCATAATTTGGACATATAAAATTTAGGATCTGTGATGAAAGTTTTCTTCTGAAACTCCAAGACACATGAGCATTATCAAAGCTATTTAGAATAGTTCCCCAGCTGTGGGAAAATATTTCTAGAACAGTCAAGAAGATCATGCCCAACTTTATAGTCTTCACCCAAATTATACAGCATAGGGAATAAAAGGCTTTTAAGTAAAAAACATAGTTCCAAAACATGACTAAAGTTAGGAAATAACCGTGAATTATTTCAAGTAAAAATTATTAAAGAAGCAATAATTAACCACAAGGGGGCATACATACTCCTTAGGTTCCAGCAGAAAGGCTAATTTAAGTAGTAACATGCACTTTGATATATTCTACATTTTCAGTTATTTAAAATTTCCTCTCAGTGGCTACAACTTTTTAACATTCACGGTTTATTTTAAACCTAACTAAATAGATTCCAGAATACTCCTACCCTGAAAAATAGTAGTGCTTTAGAAGCCTCTGGAAATGTTGCTGTTACCTCAGCAAAGGATTCAAGAGCAATTAGTTCTAATATAGCATATTAGAACAGGTAAGTAATAGGAAAACATGGTCTAAAACTGTAGCAAATTTTAGTTTACCATAAATGGAAGACATGAAAAGTTTATCAAAAGAAATGGGACAAATTGTCAGAAAAGGGAAAATAAGAGGGTGGGGAAAATTGAGTTCTCTGTGCCTGTGCCACACACCCCTGCATTCTTCCCCATGACCACAGTGTTTGGAGCCCACAACAGCAGCGGAACACTTCACCCCAGGGTCAGGGATGATGCGGCTGGCCCGCCTCATCGGCCATGTTAAGAATATAGTTAGCCATATCGTCTTCGGTGGGTGCATCTGACACTACCCAAGACTCATTTGCTCCCGTCATCTGCAGGCGACAAATAGGGCAATTCCTGTGTCGATCACTCCTATTAAGAGAAGTCAATTAAAGAACAGTTTTTCTTTTTATTCTTTTTAAAAAACTGGTTTGTTTGAAACGTAACACATGTACATGATTTTTAAAAAAGTAGTAGCATAAAAGTGTACAGTGAAAAATCTCCCCCTCCCTCCCAATCTCTGATTCTTACCCCCAAGGTCAAGCACTACTGCAAGTTTGTTGCATATTCTTCTAGAGATAGACTAGGCATGATCAAGCTTGTGTGTACATATATTGCTGCTTTTCTTTAACTTGTTAATATATTTTGTAGGCCATTATGTATCTACATGTTAGAGCTGCCTATTCTTTCAAACATACACTGTATCAGAAGGCTACCATTCATTTTAGTCTCCTATAGAAGAGCATTTAGGTTTTTTCCTGTCTTTTGCTACCACAAACAATGAAATGGAAGTATTCAAGGTTTAAAATAAAAGAGAACTTCACATGCAGAAGAATTTTCCTGACAGGAAAAGAGCTTATACATGGTCACTTAAATAAGATTTTGTTTTCCAAAGGGATTTTTTTTTGTCTTGTCAAACATAATTTTGGAAATTTGAAAAATACCATATTTGAGCCAGAAACATGTCATGCAAGGAGAATGTCTTTCTCTTCATCTCAGTGAAATCTGAGACCAAAGTAATGTAATTATATCAATTGCTCTTTGGCTTTTGTGCAAAAACTAAGAAATCTGTTCCAAAGACTAAGTGTGAAAGCTAGAGCTGGAATATACTCTATTATTCAGTTCCATTTCTGGTTCCTCAGAGATAATTTACAAGATAATTATGTGTGCTCTTCTGTGTACAAAAGTCACCATTTTTAAAAAGTCCATTTCTGCTTTTGGCCAATAGGGACAGACTGGATATCATACGACAAAGGACAATAATCCTGAGAAATGGGAAGTGAAGGAGATGAACCCTGGCATTGCCCCAGGTTACTGCCTTGAGGGTTTCTCAGCCAGAGTAAGCGGGGGGATCCTGGGTGGTCCCCTAGCTGAAGTGACAGAGGCGAGAGTCTCAGGAGGCTAAGGCTGCCAGAGTTCACAGGGCAGAGAACAGGCGTGGAGAACGCTGCACAAAGGGAGAATTCCTGAACCTGCCGAAGGTCCCCCTAGAGTATATTCAGCAGTGTGTGCACATGAAGAAACTACTTGACGCTGAAGAATCACCCAAAAAAGGATTTGAGGGGACGGTACCCAAAGCTCACAAAGGGCCTGGGACATTGCCTGTTCCCACCAGCCAGGCTGGAAAACCTTGTAATTCACAGAGCACCGAGTACTCAGAAGGGCCTTGCTTCACAAGGAGGGCATAATTCGCTCTAAACTCAACACTGCTCCGGTCCTGCCTAAGAAATCATAAAAGCAAGACCCAAAAAGATCAAACTGTTTCCAAGTAACTATATTTCAGAACAAAGCTCAAGAATATTTATAGTAATACAAAAATATCCAGTACCCAAAAAGGTAAAAATCACAATGTCTGGCACCCAATCAAGAACTACCGGCCATAAAAAGAAGCAAAAGAATACAACCCAAAATGAAGAGAAAAACCAATCAAAACCAATCTAAAACTGACACAGATATTAGAATTAGCAGAGAAGAAAGTTAAAGATTATGATAACTATATTCTATGTATTGAAAAAAACTAGAGGAAAGATCACATTAAGTAGAGACATAGAAGATATTTAAAAATTCAATCAAATCAAAGTTTTAGAGATGGAAACTACCATATCTGAAGTAAAAAGCACACTGGATGGGAATTAATGGCAAGTTAGACATTGTAGGAAAAAAGATCAGTAATTTGGAAAGACACAGCACTATTAACTATACAAAATAAAACACAGAAAAAAATGACAAAAAAAAAAAGGACAATAGCAGCAGTGAACTCTGGGACAACTTCAAGTGATCTAATGTGTAGCTGCACTCGCAGAAGGAGAGGGGAGAGAACAGAAAAAAATATTTGAGATTTTGTGGCTGAAAAACTTCCAGAACTGATGATACCATAACTCCAAAGAACTGAATGGACCCTATGCACAAGGAACTACTGTGCTTAGTGAAGAAAACTACTCTGAGGCACGTCACAATCAAATTGTTCAAAACCAGTGATAATGAAAAAAAAAAAAACCCTTAAAAGCAACCAGAGGGAAAAAAAGATACAATACCCACACAGGGAAAAAGATTAAGATGACAGAAATTTCTGACAGGAAACAATGCAAAAAAAATGAGAATGAAGCCACATCTTTAAGTATAGGGGGAAAAAATACTATCAGTCTAGAATTCTATATCCAGAAAAAATATTTTTAAAAAATTGATGTTCAGACACTCAAGAAAATCATACGCAATCTCCAAAAAAAGCTATCAAACTAATAAATGTTTAATAAGGTTGCAGAATTTAAGAATTGAAACACACAAATCTATTATATTTTTATATACTAGCAACAAACAATCATACATTGCAATTTAAAAATACCATTTAAAATAGCATAAGAAATATAAAGTGCACAGGGATAAATCTGTACGAAGATATGCAACACTGAAGACTACAAAAATCGGTAAGAGAAATTAAACAAGACTTAAATAAATGGAGCAATTGCTCCAGCACATTTTGTTGAGAAGACTATCCTCACTAAACTGCCTCTGCACCTTTGCTGAAGAGCATTTGTTCAAATACATGTGGGTATATTTCTGGGTTGTATTCTCTTCCATTGATCTGTTTGTCTATCTCATACCAATACCACAATATCTAGATTATTATCTAACGTTTATAAGTCTTAAAATTAGGAAGTGTTTATTCTCTGACTTTGTTCTTTTTCAAAGTTGGTTTGGCTGTTCTAGGTCTTTTGAATTTCAATATGAGTTTTAGAATCAACTTGTCAATTTTTACAGAAAAGCTTTGGAGATCAATTTGGAGGGTGTTAATTTATTAACGATATCCAGTCCTCCAATCCACACAGTTCTTTTTAATTTTGGATCTCATCAAAATGAACAACTTCTACTCTTTGAAAGGCATTTTTGAGAATGAAATGGCAAATCAGAGTGGGGGAAAGTATTTGTAAATCATATCTCTGATAAAAGATATATATCCATAATGCATCATCTCAAACTCTGAATGGACACTTCACCAAAGAAGACAAATAGATGGTAAATTAGCATACGAAAAGATGCTCAACATCATCAGTCAGCAGCAAAATGCAAATTAAAACCACAATGAGATACCACTACAAAGCTAAAGAATGGTTAAAACTAAAAGGACTGACCATACCAAGTACTGACAAGGTTGTGGAGCAATTGCAGCTCTTATACACTGCTTGTGGAAGTGTAAAATGGCACAACTACTTTGGAAAACAGTTTTCAGGTTCTTAAAAAGTTAAACATATGACGAGTATACCTACTGTATGCTCTAGCCACTTCTAGGTATTTACTCAAGAAAAACCCCTGCAATATGTGCCAACAAAATGACTTTCCTATAAATGTATACAAACTGTATATAAAATACATTTATTTGTAAATGTATTCTGGTGAGTCTGAAAACTGCCATGATTTCAAAGTGGTGATGACAGTAAATGGTATTCGCTCTACATAATGTGGTAAGAAAGTATCTGCAACTTTCGTACCGACTGTAATACAAGCAAAGGTGTCTGATCCCTGGTACTGACTCTGTCACAGCGCTACACTTTTGGGGGGAGAGGGAAATGTTCTTTATCTAGATTGTTGTGCTGGTTACGTGGTTGTAAAACTGCATCAAAATGTATTGAAATATATATGTAAAATAGGTGGATTTTACTGCATGTATGTTATGCTTCAATAAAGTTGCTTTTAAAAGCTAAAAAAAATTAATTAAATAGATTTTGCCAAAATGTACCCCAAAGCAATTGAACCAATTTATATACTGACCTAAAATATATAAAGGGGCTGGCTTCTCCACAAGCCTGTCCTTACTGTATGTGCTAAGACCTTGTCCTTCTTATAGGTGAAAGTGGTTTTATAATACTGTTTTATTTTTATTTATATAATTACAAGGATAATTGTCTTCCACTTGATATTTGAAGCGATTTAGATTTTATACTTTTGGATAGATGGCCAGGTTCTGGAAAAAAGTAGTGTTTTTAGCTTCTAAATTTGGAGACTGCATTTCCATTTATTTTAGCAAAAGAAACATTGTCAAAATTAAAAAAATACCAAGTTTAAAAAAGTTTTTACTTGTAATAACTAAAAACTGGAAATAACCCAATGTCCCTTAACAGGCGAATGGATTAATAAGCTGTGATATAGCCATACAATGAATACTATTCAGCAATAAAAAGAAACTATTGATACAACATGGGTAAATCTCAAAATAATTATGTTGAATGAAAGAAGACAGACAAAATTAGAGTATATACTGTATGATTTCAATGATAAAAATTCTAGAAAATCCAAATTATTTTATAGTGACTGAGAGCAGAGTGGTGGTTGTCTGGGCACTGGAGGGAAGGAGATTTTACAATGGGACACAAGGTAACTCTGTGGGGTGATGGACTTGTTCGTTATCTGTGTTGTCATGGTGGCTTTTTGTGCATGGGTACGTATGTCAAAACATATCAAACTGTACTTTAAATATATGTAGTTTATTGTATATCAATGATAAATTCTCCTAAATTTGATTCTTATTTTGTAAAATAATGGGGTTGACGAGCTGATCTCTCAAGCTCCCTCAGGGTCCAATTCTGCAAGGATTCACATTATTTCCACTAATCACACATAAAGGGAAAATGTAGAAATAAGAAAAAGGGAAGCATGTGACTCTAGGCTCAAGTCAGGCACAAGTCTCCTTACAGCAAAAGTAAACTGCCAAAACTAAAATACTTCCTCACATTTTATAAACTTTAAGTATAAAAATAAAAATATTTTTAACCATTCGGAGGTATGCCATAAAATTCAAAGTACTGAAGGACAAAATCTCTTATACTTTACTATAATACTTTTGGATTTTTTGAAGTTTATTCACATATATATGCTCTCATTTGACCTTTGCCTATCTCATGAAGAGAGCAGATAACTTACCATTTATCAATGCACTTCTGACAAAAGCTGTGAGCACAAGGCAAGATGTGGTCAGCTCGACCATCCATACAGATACAACACTCCTCCTCATCAGTCAGCTGCTTCACCCTGCAATGTGAAAACTGAGCTAGAACAATAATACTTTGCATCATTATAGTTTAAACTTTATTTCCACTAACTTAAAAAGGATCATCATTTATCTATGTGCCCTCAGATAAAGCAAATGACAGGCAATATCAGACTAAATCAATATACCTTTTAGGGAAGGCAATTCTATTAGGGAAGAAGTAGTAAGGGGCAAGTTCCATACAGAAAGACTGCATAGAAGAGAAATTCAGCAATGGTTAAAAGAAAATATGAGCAAAAACTGGAAGTATTCAGGTCTTTCTGAAAATAATGGCCCATTTAAATCATATTAAATTTATATAAATGAACTCAGCCAATATATGATTTATTCACCATGACGGATACAAACTCTCTAACATATGGACCTTGACATCAGGGCCTTCCTGTGCTGATGCTGATAATGAGCATACAAATGAAAAAATAGCTTAGTCTCAACTATTTGGTGCTATAGGCAATAAAAAGAGATAGAAAGCAAAGTGTCTGTCCTCAAAGAGCTCTTTCATCTCGGAGAGAAGAGAGATGTCGACTCCTCCACTCCCGTCGACTCTCCCACTCCTGCCACAGTTTCGAGAGCCCTGAGTGAGCCAAGTGCGTCTGCACGTGCTGCGTTCCTTTCCTGCGATACCTTTGTGAGTTTAGTGAACTCCAGCCTCAGTAATGCAGCTCAAAAGATCATCTCCCTGTTCTCAAAACCAGTATTTGCCTCAATTAAAGAGCTTAAATACTGTATTTCAGTTGACTGTTTATTGATGTGTCTATCCAAAAACTGTAAGCTCTTTGAATAAAGGGAGTTTGTCTTAGGTTCTCAATAAATATTTCTTGAAGTGATTTTAATTTGCTTTTATCCTTTACACTGTTCTGTAATTTTTAGGTTTTCTTCATCAAGCATGCATTACTTTTTTAATTATACAAAAATTGAATGTTTCAATGTATAGCAACTAGACTATAAGCGTAAGGGTTGAAGCTCTCTCTAACATGTTTTTAATTCCCTGCTGTGTTTATATGACTATATAGAAGACATTGAGATATCACTTTAAAGTACATCAATTTGAACATAAAACAGAATATAAGCAAATGTGCATTACATAGAGTAAGTGCAAAGTAAAGAAGGAGAAAATGAGTATATTTCAAACTTCTTGGAAAGATGAGGTAGAAAAATGATAGGATTTTGACAGAGAACATGCTGGGTAAATAAACAAAGCTGTGGGGGTAGAAAACAACCTGTGTGTGTATATGCAACAAGAAGCCTGGTGTGATGCTCTGGGAAGAAAATGGAGGGAAAAGGTTGCCTAAATATAGCAGAGATAATCTGATCCTTGAATATCAAAATGAAGTTTAAACTTGTTCTGATAGGCAAACTATAGTCAGAGTTTGATCAAGAGGTAAGTAAACCCCCATTGAAATAATACTCTAGGAAGGCTGATTGGAAGTGCAGCATGAGGGACAATCTAGGGGGAGGAAAAGCAATGAGATCCCTATTTCAGCAATCCACTTGGGAGACAATTAGGGCCTGGTCTAAGGTGCGCTGAGAAAGACCACTAATCAGGATGTGGTAAGAGATTAAATGTTATGCTATAGTAATAGGGCAAAATGAGGTAGCCACGGAACTGAAATGGAGAAACTCAATGAAAACCTAGATGGATGTGGATTTGTTGTATTTGATTATTTTCCACATAATATTCATTTCAATGTTTAAGTGCCTTTTGGTGGTACATACTGTGCCAGACCCAGATGAACTAGGGTCTCTGCTTTTGAGGAGCTTATAATTTACATCTAAGGATGTGGAGCTGGGTGTCAGCAGCAGAGACTATAGCTGAATCTGTAAAGAGTGACAGAGTTCTCTGAAGATCAGAGTTTAAAAGGGAGGGGTGGAGAGCTATGAAGAACAGTATTCTGGATAGAGGTAAAGGAAGGAACAGGAGACACAGAAACAGCCAGTGGAAGCAGCCACTTGGTGTTTCACTACCTTCCAAGAGTGCAGTGACCAGAAGAAGGAAGAGGAGTCTTGCTCTGCTTGTCCTTGTTAGACCACTTACGGAGCATTCAGTTCTATGCTCCCTACCCTGAAAGACACTGACAGATCATCCAGGAAAGCCTCCAGGACACAGAAAGACCCATATAACAATGGCCAAAGGAACTGGGGATGCTTATCCTGGAGGACAGAGGGTCAGTGAGAATTTGGTTACTCCTCTCAAAGAGGTGAAGGGTTAGAAAAGAGAACAGATTTTTTTTTTTTTTTTGGTGGAATTCCAGAAGGCACTGCCACTGTAAGTGGACTGTGGTAGTAATTTACTAATTACAGTTAACTCTTACAGACATACTATTATGGGCCAAGTACTGTTCTAAGCATTTTACATATATAACTCACTTAACTCTCTCAAGAGTCCTAAAAAGCAGATACTATTGTTATCATCTTCTTTTAAAAGATGAGAAAAACCAAAGGGAAGAGAGTTTAATAACTTGTTCAAAGTCAAATAGTTAGGGGTATAGCCAAAATATGAACACAGGCCAATTTGGTTCTAGAGTCTGTGCTGTGTTGCCTCAAGAGAGCCAGAGTTAGGCTGTCCTAGGAATGTAACACAAAAGGGAAGATGTCATAGTAATTGGTACCATCTGTATATGAAAAGGCTTGCTTCTCTGAGGCTATGAGTCCCATGTAACTGCAGGTTTCAAGTACAAGTTGGAATATGCCTTGGCTAAATGTCATCAGTAGAGTCTTGCTATTCAAAGTGTTATTTGTGAATCAGCAGCAGAGACACTACCTGGAAGCTTGATAGAATCTCAAGTTTCTCCTCAAAACCACTGCCAAAATTCAGGAGGCGCTGTAGTACAGGATCTTTACGCACTAAGAGAGTAATAATGGCAGCACGGCTGTATTGCCAGACAGGCTAGAATGTGAGTCTCAGGCCAATTTCTATGTGATTGATTTGTCTAAACCTCAGTTTTTTTCATCTGAAATGGGCCAATAATTGTATTCACGTGGGGTGGTTGTGAGGATTTAATGAGTTTATACATATCAAGCTTTCATTAGGATGACTAATACCCTGTAAGTATGCAATAAATGTAAACCACTAACAGAAATAGGCATCAAATGTACGGCTGAACCAAATAAAAATCTCCTAAGATCCTCTTCAATTTGAAGTCTAGTCTTCTATGAACTAGTGTATCAGGATGTAAGAAAAAAACTAAAACATCATACAAAGGCAAGAAGCAGCCCTACCCTGATATGGTACTGAATTTTCTAGTCTTGAGAGTGCATGAGAAGGAATAAAATCTTATCTCCTTCATTAAGATGACTGCAACAAGAACAAATTATTATTTTCATTTCACTTGCTACCACAGAGCCTAAACATACTGGTAAATACTATTCTTGGCTTTCCAAATACTATGTATAAATAATCACCATATTGAAGAAGGATAAGAAAGAGCAGGAAATCAGACATTTGTCTTTGAAATATTACCTTTAAAAAACACAGGAAGATAAGCCTTAATGTTGCCTAGAATGTTCTAAAACTCATTTGGCATTTCACCAAACAATCCTATTATAGATAAACAGAAAATGATAAATGGAAAATACAATTTTACTGTAACATAGTATTTGAAAACCAGTTAGTTAAGAATAGACCAGAAGATGCAACTGGAGCAATAAAAGAGAAATTCTTATTAAGCATATTTTTAACTTAAAGGTAAAAGATACTGTCAATCCAGGTCTCTGCTCTCTACCCTATATGACAATTGGACAGGATGTCAACATGTCTGGACCCATGTAGGACTTTCCGATGAGGCATTTACAAATTTAAATTATGGTCATGGTTCTCAAATGGCAACAGGTGGGAGCTCTTACATGCCAAAAGCAGTCCAGAGAAGGAAAAGAAAGTTTAGATAGAACAATAATGTATTAGGCCTGAGTAAACAAGCGCCATCACAGAAAACTGGCTGAATTCATTTCCTTCTGGTATATGCGATACGTACATCAACTGCTTGTTCACTCGTGAATGAACTGCCAAATGCTGGAGCCATATTTACAACTTTAATCGTCCAATTACATACTTTTAAGAAAACTGGAATGATTTTGCCATTCTTGGACCGAATTTCCTGCAGGGCTTGATTGTTCAAGAACCTAAATATCTATTGTAAGAGGGGTATTAACTATAAATCTTTTGTCATTAAATGTAAGCATGTGGAGTGGACAGTGGATTCATGGAAACAAGGTTGACAGAAATATCACCTGATGTAAGCCACTCTCACTCTTCTTTAATTTGGTACTCTAACAACATCGTGGAGCACAGAAAAATCTAAAAGCTGATCTGGGATATTATATCAATTGAGACAAAAAGTAGTGTGATTTAAGATGTCAAAAGAACACCAGCAAAAATATTAATGGGATTTTAGTAGCTTGCATATAGGAAAATAAGAGAAACATGGAACTTATGTATTGTATACCTTCCCATCCAAACACTAGCCTGACAAGATGTCACAGATGATGCGTTTTCATCAGGGTCTTCAGAGGTGGAGCTCTGTGCCAAAACTCCTGCTGCCTGACTTGTGATGTCTTTATAAAGCTGAAGAAACTGGTACAAATTCATGATCCGTGATGCTTCCACAATGCCACTGCCTTTGTTAATCTAAATATAAGTAGGAAAAAACAAAAACAAAATTCGATAATTTGTCTGATCAATTTTTCCCAAAAATAAGGAACAAATACTTAGTAAAGCATTTTAAGAAATAGAAGTGTTCCAGGTTAGCAAAATACCTACCAAGAGAGCAAGAATCTGAGCAAACAAATATCATGCCCCCTACATTTATGGGATTTAAAGTAGTACAAAAATTTATCTCATTTGATACTTAACCATGTAGAGTTGATTAGGCATCATCTTGTTTAGAGTTGATGAGATCAGGCAACGTTCCCAGACTTAAAAGTGAATTTTTACTTCCAGTCAGTATAGAAGCATAGGTAAACATGTCTTGCCTCCTCACACAACCACATCCAAGTTACAACTAAACTGTAGAACAACCATCACTCAGGACCATCAGAAATCAAGTTGAATAGAAGTCCAACAACTATGGAATTAAAGAAACCACATCCATCCAGACTGGTAGGAGGCAGAGAATGGAGAAGGGGTACAGGCTGGTCCCACACCCAAGTATGTTGGATAAAAATTTGGGAGGGATTCTCAGGAGTGAGGGGTTCAAGCCCCACACCAGATCCCCAAGCCCGGGGTTCCAGTGCCAGGAAGATAAGTCCCCATAACTTCTGGCTTCAAATACAGGCAGGGATTGAGTCAGTGGAAGAAACTTTGAAGAAGTTCCCACGCAGTTCCCTTTAAAGAACGTACACACAAACTTACTCAGACTTACTCTCTCTGAGCTCTAGCACCATGGTAGCAGCTTGAAAGGCACCAGTGGCATACAGGGAGGAACTGAAGTGGCTGGCATCAAGGTGAGAGCTGGGGGAGAGCTTTCTTTCAGACAGAAAGGTAGGCAGAGGCAATTGTTCATTTTCTGAAACCACCCCTCACAGAGTCACAGAGCTGGCAGGCTGGTGCCATATCGGAGACTCCATTAGCCAGGCTAATATAGTTTGCCCTGTCCTGGAGATCCCTTGAGGCTCCACTTCACCCAACTTAAGGGCCCACCCAAGTTGTTAATGGCAGCTTTTCCACATGAATGATTGGTCTAGGCTCATATTTCTTAACTTCCTAAATTCTCACAAACAAGCAACAGCCAGTCTCAGGAAGTCCCCAGCCCTCATACCTCTTACTAAGTGGCCCCAGACCTGGTACTAGCAGCAGACAGCTCAGATTCACAGCATGGCTTTGCCTGGGAACCTTCAAGCCCAGCACAAGTAGCAGTCATCTCAGACTGCTTTGTAGCTCACGCAGGGTGGACACAGGCAGAACCCAGGTTTGGGCTGACTGTGGCCCGCACCACCCGGGAAACTCCAGAGCCTGTGTACCCAGTAGAGAGCTACAGACTACGTCAGGGCACCATTGCCCTACCCCTGCACAGCTGATCCTCCACACAGGGCAGAGGTAAGCAATCAGTGGTCACAGACAGTCCTTGCAACTGACTGGCCTGTGTAAATACCTCCTGGTGATCTTCCAACAGCAATCAAGGCTCAACTACAAGAGAAGAGTATACTCAGCCCACATGGAAGGTACACCTTGAGTACCCAATTGGGTCATAGGGGAGGCTGTACCACTTGACTTTACAAAACACCTACTTACATTAGGCCACACTACCAAGACAGGGAGTCATAGCAGCCCTACTTAATATATAGAAACAAGCACAGGGAGGCTGCCAAAATGAGGAGACGAAGAAACATAGCAAACTGAAAGAACAGATCAAAACTCCAGAAAAAGAACTAAAAAAAATGGAGATAAGCAAGCTATCAGATGCAGAATTTAAAACACTGGTTATAAAGATGCTCAAGGAACTTAACGAGGACCTCAAGAGCATAAAAAAGATCCAGTCAGAAACAAAGGATACACTAATTGAAATAAAGAAAAATTTACAAGGAAACAATAATAGAGTGGCTGAAGCTGAGAATCAAATCATGATCCAAATGCTTTTGAACATAGGGAAGCAAAAAACAACCTATCAGAACAAGAACAAAGAATCCAAAAAAACAAGAAGAGTGTAAGCAGCCTCTGGGACAACTTCAAGTGTCTCAACGCTGCCATCGTAGGGGTGCCAGTAGGAGAAGAGAAAGAGTAAGAAATTGGAAATCAATTGGAAAAAAATAATGAAAGATAACTTCCTAATTTGGTTAAGGAAACAGACATGCAAGTCCAGGAAGCACAGAGAGTCCCAAACAAGACAGATGCAAAGTGGCCCTCTCCAAGACACATCATAATAAAATGCCAAAGGTTAAAGATAAAGAGAGAATCTTAAAAGCAGCAAGAGAAAAGCAGATCATCACCTACAAGGATTTCCCATAAGACTGTCAGCTGATTTCTCAAAAGAAACTTTGCAGGCCAGAAGGGATTGGCAAGAAATATTCAAAGTCATGAAGGGGGGGACTTACAAGCCAAGATTGTGCTACCCAGCAAAGATATCCTTTAGAATCAAAGGACAGATAAAGAGCTTCCCAGGCAAGAAAAAACTAAAGGAGTTCATTATCTCCAAACCATTATTATATGAAATGTTAAAGGAGCTAATTTAAGAAAAAGACCAAAACTATGAACAATTAAATGACAATAAATACATATCTATAACTGAAGCTAAAAAACAAACTAAGCAAACAAGCAAAGAGACAAAATCAGAGATATGGAGAGCATTTTGATGGCTGCCAGTTGGGGAGGGGAAATGGGGGATGGGTGAAGAGATAAGGGGATTAATAAGTACAAATAGGTAGTTAAAGAACAGCCAAGGTGATGTAAAGTACAGTATAGGAAATGGAATAGCCAAAGAACTTATATGCATGACCCATGGGCATGAACAATGGTGTGGGGACTGCTTGAGGGAGTGGGGGGTGTTGGGTGGAGGCTAAGGGGGAAAAATTAGGACAACTATAATAGCATAATCAATAAAATATAATTAAAAAAATGAATTTTAGAGATCAGTGTTGAAAATTCCTCTCATTTTAATTTCTTTTTTTTTTATCTTCACCTGAGGACATACTTACTGATTTTAAAGAGAGGGGAAGGGAGGGAGATAGAGAGGGAGAGAACCATCGATGTGAGAGAAACACCAACTGTTTGCCTCTTGAACATGCCCCCATCGGGACCTAATGATCAATCCAGGCATGTGCTGCTTGGGAATCAAATCCATGACTTTTTTGTTTACATGAAGATGCTCCAACCAACTGAGCCACACTGGCCAGGACTTTATTTTAATTTCTTAAGGAATTTCTTAATTAAAGGAGTTATTTGAATCCAACAACTACATGCCAATCTACTATAACTGAAACAAATACTGCTTTCTTGAATATCTTAAGTTCTATTTTATACCTAAACTTCCAAACTAAAGTGAGAAAATTATATTGAAATAAATCCTAACAAAAAGTGCTTGAGTTTTCTCCAGAAAGCCATTTTGAGGGAGAGCAAAAACTCATTTACTATGAAGTGAACCAGTGTCTACAGGTTGTACCTAACCCTGATCTAGCTAACATTGTTAATGCAAGGACATGTTTGGTCGTGTGTGAGGTAGTTCAGATTCAAGGACTCATGGAGTGGGGTATATATTCACTTTTGAAATAACCAAAGCCAGCAGGATTGAGGCAGAGAACATTAATTAATTAGCAACACATTAGAGATGTGAAAGACTTCCTTTCAGCACAGGAAGTGGTGTGAAAGGTTGTGGGAACAGAAGTCAGCAAGGAAATCTATTAAATGCATATCAAAATAAACAGAACAAACAAAATACTTAGAAAGAAATGAATAGTACAGGGAGAGATATAGATAGAGGGCCTAAAATTTTGAATGAAATAGGTTTTGAAGTGTGCTGACAGAACTGGGGATATGAGAAAGTGAAGTAGATAGATTACCTACTAAAAAAATCATACCAACATTTCCATATTTGGAATGAAAATAATAATAGTTGTAGTAACACTTATTGTTTACTACTTGAGAAGACAATGAGAGGAATAACTGCAAATAAGTATGAATCAGACTCCATGTTGTCAAAATGGCAGAACCACTGTGAATAATCACAGGTGATTAAATTTTGAGATGGTAAGATACATACAGACATGTAAATATGTAATATTCTTTGTAACAGAAGACTATACATGGGGTTGAGAACAAATAGAATTAAAGGTAATACGAATTTATAGATTACAAAGTAGAATTTCAGAGCTGAAGAAACTGGGCCAGTCTTCCTTTGAAACTGCATAGTTCAGAAGAAATTAGGGAATAATTCAGACATAGTATTTAACAGCAAAATTTATCAAACTGCAACTATTATGATATGATTCATGCAGCAAATATTTATTGACTGCCTATAATGTTATAGATAATATGTACACTGTTCTAAGCACTGGTATATAACAGTGTATATAACAGAAAAAGACCCCACCCTCATGAAGCTTACACTATAGGTAGGAAAGATAGACAATAAAATACAGACTGGACAGAAATAAGTGTATGGAGAAGGGCTGTAGGGAAGGCTTCATAGAGAAGGAGACATTTAGGAACTAAAGGGGGTACAAGAATGAGTCATACAGACATCTGTGGGAAAGATCATTCCAGGCTGAGTGAACAGAAGTGCAAAGGCTGTTAGGTAGAAGTGTACCAGGCAAGGAGCACAAGGAGGCCAGCAAGGAGCCCAGGGCAGCTGGAATAGAATGAGAGAGAGGAGTGGGGGAAGATAAGGTCAGGGGGTGAGGTGGGGACACAATGTACAGGACTTTACTGATCATGACATAAAAGAAAAAAAAAATCTCCTTACCCATGTATGGGTTAGTCAAGAATGGACTTCAGGGCACTCATGAATGCCCAATTTACTGTTTATACGACTATGGATGATCTTACTGTTTTTTTAGAGGAGTTGGGATAGGAGAAGGCCTAGTAAAATTTGTTCCTTCATTTTCACCAAGGGCTCAAAAAGGTTAAAAACCATCTATTCTAATCAACCCATTGGTGGATGAGGCTTCTGAATACTCCATGACAGCTGCCATTTTATTTTTTAGCACAGTTGATATATTCGATTATCTAAAATTTAAAGATGAACTAACAGTGTATTGATGGTAAAAAACTCATTCTATAACTAAAAATTACTAAAGTAAAACAAAAAAACCAAACCTTTCTAACAGATTTAAAAATTATTATTTAATACATAAAATCCAGTGTTCTTAAAAGGAATGATCTCCTAAGATAACTTTAATTTTTAGGGAGTCATCTTGAAGCTAAATAAGAGTGTCACCTTAGGATTCAACAGCCAGCTAACTCCAAAAAGACAGGTTGATGGTATAAAGATGATAGTTTACTATCACCTTTCTTGATTATAAAAATCTCTGCTCTATGCTAATTATATAACCAGTGAGATTCAAACAGTTAACCTGAAAGGCAATAACTATCAAAACTATGTTTTACATAGTTTTATAAATAAATGTTAATAACCACATTATAATCAAATTACTAACAATCCTTTTGACCATATTATACTATGAAATGTGGTTCTAACCACAAAGTAGTTTACACTCTGCATTGGAAGTCTCTGCCATTCTCACCTTGGTACAGATCACCCGTACAACCACCTTCCAAAAGGCAGAGGAATCAGACCCAGGCTGTACCTCAAAGAGAAGATGTTTTTGCTGGCCAGAAGCCACTTTAGCAGTTCTGAAAAGAGACAAACACGTTTTTTAAAATTTTATGAAAAGTCACATAAAATAATGGAGCCCTGAAATTAGATTCAAGAAACACTTCAAAAACAGAGAAGGCAGTTTGAAGAAAACACACAAAGATCAATGCTAATAATGACTGTAATAATTAGATTCTTTAAAACATAGGGTTAGAGTTTTGATTAAACACACTATTTATTTTTCAAGTTTTTAAAGTCAACAGCAGAATAGCATGATATCGATATTTTGCCATATCTAATATTTCAATGGTCTTTAAATTTTTAACAGACATCTACAAAAAACATGTCCAAGAAATTAGGTATTTAGAAAAACTTTAGCTGATTTCACTCATCCACATTTTAACTGTTGCCTCAGATGTGCATAAGTTGTGGGAAAAATCTTCCTTTTGGTTGAGTCCTTATTTAAGCAACAAAACTAACACAACATTTTGAAAAAAGTTTATAATTTGGACTGTATTGAGCAAATGATTTAGAGACACTTTAAATATAGCTTTGCTGTCTTCCCCTAGCAGAGTAATTTTAATATGGAGAGCCATAGGATTCTAACGTACAAACACGGCTTTTAGAGGATAATTCATTATCATGCCATCAACACCAATTTAAATCAAAGACGTACGTAAATAGTCCGGCTCCCTTCTGTCAGTGCTCACATTTCTCTCTGAGCACCAGTGGGGATATCACACTCAGAACTAAGTGACTTAGAGCTAAATAAATTGAGGCCATTGAAAACTAAGCAACTAGCCCTAGGTAACAAAACCTGCCAGGCAATGTAATCCAGCGGTGCCAGTCCCTAGTAGTTTTCTAGCTATCAAGCTACACCTCTCCTGCATAGAGTGAACTTTATTTCTTGGATAGCATTGCACTTATGAAATGCTCAACTCTGACCATGAAAATTGGTTATAAGAACCATATCCACACAGAAAATTCCTGTGCTGAATAAATAAGAGGAAGATATTCCTGACCATTTGCTTTATATTACACAGTAAACTTAGCTTATGGATGCTTTCACAGGACACATTTTATTCAGTATCTTTAGGCAAAAAAGGCAGAATTTCATTTAATAGACTAGGTTTATGTAAGTTCCAAGACTCGAAAGGGACAGCAAATGTCACTGATTACTCTTCATGAGTTGAAACAATGGACATAAAAACCATTCCACAGTTATGATACTACTATATTCTCAACCCAATTTTACTCCTTAAGAATATGGCCCCAGAGGTAAAGACTCAAATGCTACCATTTGGATCATCTTTAAAAAAAAAAAAGTGAAATGCTCAAGTTTGAAAAACCAATGACTACATTTTTATTATAAAAGATTAAACAATACATAGACAGTAAAATGTAAAATCTCCCCTGCTGCCCCCCCCACCAGCTCCCCAGACACCCAGTATGTAGCCTCCTAGTTCATTTTCTATGTACTTACATGCATGAGAAGGGGGCCCCTAAATAAAACCCAAGATTACCTTCCAGAGGGCAGGCCCCTTGTATACAGGCTTTCCCCACTAGGTGAGTGTTCTAGGAGCCCACCTGTATCAGCGTATTGCTGGTGCTGTGTGAGAGGCTGTGTTTGGCTTCAGTGAATTTTTTTTAAATAAACAAGAGTGTTCTTAAAATAAATGATCTTTTAAGATAGTTTTAACTTTTAAGACATTCTTTATTCTTCATGACTGGTTAATAACAATAGACTCCAGTCATGTCTATAATAGAAACTCTATTTCCTTCTCTTTATCTAATGTCTTCCACATGGCCAAGTCTGTTTCGTATCAACCAACATAGCTATCACAAAGCTTAGGGAGCAGGTTCATGCATCCTACCCTAAACAATTAATAGGGACTTTTATATTTATATTAAGTAGGTCCAGACTGCCTGGTGATTTTGATTGGCTTTTTGCGGGGGTGTGGTTAAGAGAGGTTTAAGTGGGATAGTTAAAGTAGGAGAGTGAAAAAAAACTTCAGACTTAGGGAGAGCTGGATCAGCCATTAATACTTGGACAATCATTTTAGGCCTCAGTTAAAATGTCCAATCCTCAGCAAGTGCCTTGCACATGCTATGTGCTCGGTGAATGTTAGCTAAGCTGAACAGACCGAAGAGAGAATCTCCTTTAAGATCTCATTTAAAAGGCAATGCCCTAATTACTGGTACCATACATCCCAAGGGAGACAGAAGATTTATACACACACACACACACATATATATGTATATGTACACACACACACACGGATGTAGGGATGTAGGTGCTGCTAGAGAAAGACTTAATATAAAGAAGCGACATTTGCTCACCTGTCATGAGGGGAGAGAGCACACATAGAAAAAGTAATTTTTTTAAAGCATAACAATCTGGGGCCATTCAGGGACAAAGAGCCCTGTGTATTTTAATAGCTTCTATAACAGATCAGTATAAAAACTGATATAATAAAGAATAAACTCACAAACCCAAAAGACTAAGTTCTATTAAATGTGCTCCTTAAGATAGAGAAATTTATATTTCATTTTAAACATTAATCTGTTTAAGAGTTGAGATTTAAAGATGTTAGCTGATTAGAAAGCATTAATAACTAAAATATCTTATTCTTTGATGATAAATGAATTATTACTATATATGCATTTCTCTGGCAAAATAATGGCTCAGTGAACGAACACAGAAGATTTATTACTGACTAACCAGGTAAGTGCCTGAGTGCCCTGGACAGTCCCAGGAGCCTTTCTCCAAGGGTGGCTAATGGGTGCACTCTCTTGTTATAGACCCGTTAGTGCTTTCAAGCAAGAACCAATTTATATGCCTGTGTTTAAAATTTAATTTTATGGTCCTTCAAAAACTCTTTTGCTCTTATTATATATTTTAAAATACCCACACAGAAAGTCTTATAGTAGGCACTCAATAAATATTTGCTAGCTGCTGCTGAAAACATTAAGACTTACCAATCGATATTTCTGGTTACTTCTGACAGTCATGACATATGGGGCATATGTTAAGGGGAAAAATAAAATGAAAAACAGTAAGCCTTACACATCATTAAGTTCAGCTACTCTCCCAAGAAATTCTTCATAAGTTAAGGAGCCACTTTCTCGAACCAATATGGCGTGTTTTGCTACTTTTTCTGGTAACTTGTTAAGAACCAACTGCGTCTGATCCGAAATTTGCTGTCCCATGATGAAATGATGTCTTTTGAAATCCAGAAAGAGTGTTGCTTCACATAGTTTCTGTCAAATATATATATATATGTATGTTACTTTTATATATAATATAAAATCAACAATATATCCACCCCTCCAAGAAAATAATGAAATACTAGGAATACACTTAAGTAAGAGAGTTCAGTAAACTTACACGGCCTAAAGTGGAATTTATTTAAAATATATTTTAGAAGTAAAGATACATATTTCTATTTTTTAAAATCACATAACTAAATAACAGGATTCACTTACATTATTGGGAGGGTGATGAACCTCTAATTCCTATAATTCTGCCAAATAAAAACCATTACACAGACACACACATAGAGGCATTTAAGTGACTGCACGTAATAGGAAGTGTGTTTACCTTACAAAATTTTCCTCGGAACATTTCCTGACTGCTTACAACATGTCAGACTCAAAACTAAGGGCCTTCCACACATTATCTCATTTCTTACAACAGCCCTAAAAAATAGGCATTATTATATTCCTATTCTACAGATAAGGAACTAGAGCTAAGTGACACATCTAACTAAAATTAAACAGTTGGTAAGTGGTCGAAGTGAACTTTGAACTCATGTTTTTCAGATTCTAGTGCTCATAGTCTTAACTACTATGACATATAGTCATAATGTATCAGCTAAAGAACATTTGCTGTTCAATGTGCAACTTACTTTTAATTGTAAAATATATGTAAATTAAATATTTTTCGCTTGAAAAACCTAAGAAAATTAAAATGTTAGATAATTTAACCACTTCACATTTTCTACTTAAAAAAAAAGACAGCTCTTTTGCTTTTTACCTCCTTTAGATGTTTTTAACTTAGGATTTATATAACTTGTTTTCTAAATAAAAGGTGATATTTTAGTTAAAAGGCTGGACAATACTTTAATAACCTATCAATACAGATCAGTAAGTTATTGAATTGACTTAAAAATTTAACCTCAAAACATTTATTTAATAACCATGGTCAGGTAGGCCAGTTGAAGTCGTCAATGATCAAACTGAGACGTTAACTGAGAACAATCAACGTTATATCATGCAGGAAGTGGCTGACATACTAAAAATATCCAAATCAATAAAATTATTAGTGGAAATAAAAAGTGTCTTTTATTTTATGGAAAAAAAATATGGACTTTTTGGCCAACCCAATAGTAATAATTTAATAGAAAAAATTTTGCCAGGAAATATGTTTTATTTTTTTTTTCCTTTTTAAAGATTTTATTTATTTATTTTTAGAGAGAGGAAAGGAGGGCGAAAAAGAGGGAGAGAAACATCAATGTGTGGTTGTCTCTCACATGCCCCCTATAAGGGACCTGGCCTGCAACCCAGGCATGTGCCCTGACTGGGAATCAAACCAGCGACCCTTTGGTTTGCAGGCTGGCACTCAGTCCACTGAGCCACACCAGACAGGCCTAGGAAACCTGCTTTATTTTTTAAGAAAAAAATTAAGTTAAAACTCTACACATAAAATATATAAGTATAAAATACAAAAACATTTACAATAAGAATTCTCAGTAACCATAAATATGTAAATGTTGCTTTGGGTATTCAAATTTAATATACTGTATTTGAGACTTATTCCTTTAGTCTCATTAAGTACAAGAAAAGCACAATTGTAATAAAAGAGTAACAATTGTAATAAAAACAGTAACTCAACAGTTACTGTTTTGAATCTGAGCCTACCTGGCAATGATAAATATTTTATTATAGAGATAAATAAAAGGAAGTTGTTGAGAAAGATCCAAGCCATTAAAAAAAAAATCTCTGAATGCAAAATTATAATTTAAAATACAGCCAAGTGTATCCAAAGAGAAAGATCTTAGCTTAGAGGTGGCCTCTAGGGTATTCAATATTAGTGATTTCTGAATTTTAAAGACTAATAAAATTTCAGAGCACCTTGGTTGCACATTTATTTTTATTCTAAGTAAGGATAGTTTTCAAAAATAAAAAATCCCCAAAACGTAACAAAAATGTTAAAAGGAACGATTTATAACCTCAAAAGTAGAAAGATATATTAGAATAAAAGTCCTTTCCAAGAAGGCAGTAACTTCACACTGCTATGTACCTCACATATAAACATACACTATTGCCTGTATTTTTCTTGTTATAAGGCAAACTTATAAAAATATTATCAGAAGCCAATAGTTGTAGACCAGTGTTTGGGAGCCACTGTGTTGAATGGTCTTTTTAAAAATTAAATGGTGTTGTGCCATTTTCTGGGCATACAATCGTGAGTAAAAGAAACATGGTTCTTGCCACCATAGAGCATCTGATATGGTGGAGAAGAGACAAACCATTATGCCAATAAATATATAATTACAAAATGAAAGTGCTAAGCCAAACAGTACAAGGTGCTACAAAAGCTTATAAATGGGGGACTTGACCTAGTCTTGACCTAGTCAAGGAAGAAGTCCTTGGGCCAATAACACTTGATCTGAGATCAGTCAGAGTTAGAGAAGAGGGTTGGAGGTGTGGTGAGGGGAAGGCAGTGTAGGCAGAGGTCATAGAAAGTGCCACCAGAGGAAGGAGCATGGTGACTGTGAGACAACAGAAAAGGCCAGAGTTACTAAAGCAGAGAGGCTGCGGGAGACAGAGATGGGCACCAAGAGATGGGCCGTTTACCATCTTTAATAACCGCCCAAAGACAAGCCTGCGTGCCCGCCCAATCCATGGGTGACCAAAATCGGGATAAAGGATGCACGCAGAATACCAGAATCAAGACTGAAATAGATACTGATTTTCTGAAATGAAATAAATTACATCAAATATGAATAAAACTTAATTCTGAGTATATCTTGAAAAGTCAACTGCACAGAAACACATAGGGAAGATGTGCTAAAAGCCGCTAAAATATAAATGGTCTGAGGGTTTCAGTCAAAATAAGTGAATCGTAAATAGGGGAAAGAAAGATGTTAAATAATCCCACACTTTTGTTAGAAGCAGGTGTCCAGAGCAAGATCCTAGTCCCATTGTGTTCTGTAATGGTTAGAACACACTGAAGTTTGTGATCAGCTCTTAGCAATCCCGCTTTTGGAGGGCACCTTATCACTTGAACATATTTGGGAGACTATGCAAGATGTTATAGATCTAGACGAGGAAACAAAGCAATTCATTCTAGCTAATCATGGTTCAGTAACAACGTGGAGCAACATGATAGGTTTGTTCAAATATCTGAAGAGGTTTCATGTGGAAGAGGAAGTTAAGATTTACTTATATAGTTACAGAGAACATAATAGCCAAGGAAGTGTAAATTATGCAGGTTTCAGGTCAATATTAGATATTTCCTATCATAATAACCCAGAAGTGTGTTAAGGGCTGTCTCGTGGTTGATGTATGTGATCTTGCTTTCATTGAAAGTGTGGAAGTGTTTAAATAAAGATTGGTAACTTCATGTAATGAGAGTTTTAGGGGAGACTATTGCTTGGGTGAGAAGTGTTGTAGGTGACCTCTAACCTAATATTTTACTCCAAAGTGAAACTTAAATTCCCTCTAGCTTTTCCTATATCAGCCCAATCAAAATGCAAAAAAAAAAAAAAAAGATTTTAATCAACCAGACTGAAAACTTTAAATTACATTTACATTACTTAGCAAAGGAAAAAATAATCAGTTTTGAAATACAGCCTTAACAGTATAAAAACATGCAATAATTTAATCAATGTGCCCATCAAACAGATAAAGAGAAGCCTTAGTTACTTATTGAATTACAAAATGGTCCTTTTCGTTTCTGCACTGTTTTGATTTGGTGCCCTAACTTTGAGTGACAAGGATTATAATTTGAGACAGGATATTAATTTGTTATCCTCTCGTTGCATTTGGAATCTGGCAAACCTGATCACTACCAACTCCTCTGATTAAAAGGGAACACTATCTAGAGATCACTGGAACAGTGGCTCAACCTGGTTCAGTGGAGAGAGCCTGGAATGCACGGCTCATTTTGAATACCATAAAATAATGATAAATATTAATGTCTATCACTAATATAAAAATACGACTCTGTGATCTATATGCAATATAAAACCACACCCCAGGGTGCATGTTCACAAAAAGAATCTGCTGTGAACCAGACATGGGTTCACAACCCATGAGTTTTTCAGTGTCCCTCTTTGGTGGCTCTGTACATTCTTCTCTCACAGCACATATCAGCTAGGTTACCTGCCTTGCCCTTCTGTAAGCTTCTTGAGGATAGCGGCTATGTTCTCTCTTCTGACAGATACATAAAAATACAATAAATGTTTATAAATGAACACAATATTGTTGACAGTTTTTTTAATCACTCAGTATTCTTTTGACTCTTGTTCACCTATTCAATCATCTACCAGTACTAACTTGGAAAGAAGCTGAAGTTAAAAAAAAAAACCTAGAAGAAAAAATATAAAATTGTAAAAATTTATCATTCAATTAATGCTTATGTAAATTGAAAAGTATTCATTATTTGATATCAGCAAAGTACTTCCTTCTAGATCATGGAACAGTATTTCATATGAACATAATTTGCAAACCCCTGGCATAGAATTAAACAAAAGACAAATCTCTGGTCAAGATTTCTCAATGAAGTAGCAGCTCTCATACTGTTTTGCTACCTATAATTTAGTCCTTTATAGCAAGATAATAATGTGCTTCCAAAAAAAATTTGAATGATTTTAAAAATAAAGAACAAGTGCTATTTTGAAACATGAGAATATCAAGGATTCCAAAAATGCCAGATTCTCTAGAGTCTAGTGGGTGGTAACATACACTTGATCATTTCTTCTCCTAACAAATGAATTGTTGTAGTTCAAATATTCTTTAAATATACAAAATCACATCATGGACAGGTGGCAAAAACCAACCAACCAACCCCAAACCCAACCCAATCAAAAAAACAAAACACAAAACTAAACTCCATGAAAATTTAAACCATATCCATTCATAAAAGGATCAAAGTAAAGTTAAAAAGTCTGAAAGTGCAAGAAGATGGGTTAGTTCACAAGTACTGTAGTATTTAGTAAACCTCTCCAAAACCTGCTCTCCATGAAATTTTGTATCAACTACTTTATTTACAAAAAGATATTTACAATTGACATAATCAATTATTTTCACTGGGAAGTCAGTAATAAAAACTAAGTACTAAAAACTAGGTTCTTAAGGATACACTTTTATTACTCATTGCTTACTTAAACTCTAGATCTGTAAACTGTTCTGCAAGACAAGAAATTGACAGCAGTTATAAGAGATACATGGAGAAACAAGTTAAACTAGTCAGAGTCATTGGAGTCTGGAATGTCCTGGGCTCAAAGATCTTAATCAGAAGAAATTTTTTATAGAAAGAAAAACGACTAAAGGATGGAGTACTTGGAGGTTAAGAACACGGATTTCTGACAGCACCAGAATGTTTACTAAATACATTATATATTTGGAAAAATACACTAAACTTGTAAGAACCCTCTCTGGATCTTCCCTGCTTTTTGGGGAAGAGAAGGGTAAGGCAAGTGTGTTAGGTGTTTGGATGTGAACTAAGGAGTATCAGACTACACACATCAAATATGAAGTTCACTTACACGAAATGATAGAGCGCATATTTTGGAACTCTACAATCATATTCTAGAGAAAAGTATTTAGAAATGGCAGCCAGGCAGCATCAAAGAAGAAAAACTAATTATTTTTGAGTTATAAATTCAGAAAGCACCACTTCTTAGAGAGGCGACTTCAATATAGCAGCCACTAACTGAGGATAGTGGGTCCGAGATGAAATTTTGAGTGGATGGAGCTCAATTTATAGCAAGAATAATGGGCCTGGGGGCGGGGGGAATGGAAAAGAATAACTTTGTGCAGAAAATCTCAGAATTAATAACCACAGGCAACTTTATAAATATGCCCGAGGAAAGTACTGACTCACTTGGCACTGTGAAATAGGACAGGGTCAGAATATGGGCGTAAACTGCAATTAAAATAAAAGGGCTGGGGTTGAATTTGAATAATAGTAAGTCCGCATTTTGTAACATGATACAAATAACAGAAGAAATCATCCAAAGCTAACACAGATTTCCTTTCTAGGAATCATTACTACACTAATTAGAAAGGAAACGTATCATTTCAGCCGGGTCTGCAGGTAGTTGGTTCAACAAGGTAAGCCCTTTGGGAAAAGGGGCGGCCTGAACTAATTTAGAAATGGAGAGCCGGCTAAGCTAAGTAGGTCGACTTGACCATTTCTGAGTTACCGTCACAAGGCAGAGGATTTCTAATCTGGGGTGACCGGTGCGGCGGGGACGCCTAGGACTTTTAACGGTACCAGTGTGTTTGCTAAACACGCCGGCTACCCTCGCCGCCCCAGGCCCCCCTGAAGCGCACTTGAACTTGGAGCTTTTAACCAACAGCTAGCCCACAGACTGCGCAGGCGGCAATATTTAAAAGCGGTTCCAGACTCGAGAAGGAAAAACTCTCTCCAGTTCCCCCAGATCCACCTGTCCCCCAAAACGGGACACGCCACCTCCCCGCCCCGGGCCACTGGAAACAGCCAGGTTGGGGACGGTGCGTCCATCGCAGGACCTCCCAGGCCAGCTCCGCACCCGAAACCGGGGCCTAGAAAAGGCCCGAAGGGCGGGGCCTGTCTCCCCACTGAAGCCCGGCTCGGCTGTCGAGGCCTGGCCGGTGTCCTACTTCCAGCCCGAGGGTCGCAGAGCAGGTAGGAAGGGAAACGACGAACGGACTGCGCTGCAGACCTCACCCCAGGTTCAAGGCATCGCGCTTCCCGCGGTACAGGTGCCGCCCCGGCCCGCCACTCTGACCCACAGGCGGCGGCAGCGGCGGCAGCGGCTCAGCGGGCGACCGGTCGCACTCAGTGACGCAAAAGCCCGGCCTCCCCGCCCCCCTCTCCTCTCCCCGCAGCGCGTTGCTTGGAGACAGTGCTGGTTGTCAGTTCCTCAGAGCTGAGCTCTGGCTCGCTGGTTCTTCTTTTTCGCGGGATCTGAAACCGAAGGTGGCGGCGAAGGTCAAGGAGGGGCCTGGAGGTCCCCGGGTCGCGGTGGCAGAGGCCGCGTCTCTCAGGCTCCTCAAGCTACGGGCTCCGTGGTGTGGCCGTGGGTACGGCCGGGCCGACTGCTGCCTTACCAGGCGACATCTCCCAGAGGCTGTTGAGGCCTCACCCCTGATGACAAAGGCCACTCTTGGAGCCCTGGTTTGGTCAAGGGCTGGATTCCAAGCACCACTTATTAGACCTCCAACCTCCGACTGGCCTGGCCGTGGTTACACAAAGATGATCTCATTCCTTGTCATGAAATGAGGTAGGTTATGCTCACCTAGCAATTGGGTTGGCTAAAAAGTCCGTTTAGATTTTTCTCTAAAATAAAAGAGACTTTTTTTCATTTTCACCAATAACTTTGTTGCTTTGGATACTTTGAGTATGTTGGCTTTCTGCTGCTATTGGCTTCTAATGGGTAGAGGCCAGAGGTGATGATAATCTTCCAAGGCATGAGACAGCCCCGCAACAAAGAATTATTTGGCCAAAATGTCAACCAAACATCTCCTCACACCACTTTTGACGTGTTCAATCAGTCACAGCACCTTCTCCCAACACTGCACAAACCTTTTTTTATTTTTATTTTTTTGCGTTTCAGTTGCATTTTTACTTTTCTTGAAATAATAAAACATAATATGCTGAAAATGTTGCCTGTTTCCTTCCATTTTCAATGTTAAAATGGCTGCACAAAAATCTACCAATTTTGATTTTAAAAATAAATGCACGCTGATATGATAATTGTCACAATACAATCTAACAAAATTGTTTCAAATAAAGTTAAAGACAACTAAGCACTACTAAAGCCATCATACGGAAAACTAAACGAACTTTTTGTCCAACCCAATGGATTAAGAAGCATAAAAGAGAACATTTGGACAGTAACTGTCACAGGGTCCAAAATGGTAAGCCCTAATAAATGGCAGCTACTATTATTATAAACAGGTGTTGGTGATTTTATGGCTTTTCAGAATGTCCACAGTCAATAATTCCTATCCGTTAAGTATCTGTTTTGTCACAAATACGATACTAAACACTTTACAGGCATTGCACTCTTTTAAGTAGTTCACACAGTTACACAGCTGGTAAACAGAGCAAGGTTTTAACCTAGATATGGGTGAACCAGTGCCTCTGTGATGAGCAGCTAAATTATACTACTTTATATGCTTGTCAATGTTTCCATCCCTGTCTTTCCCAGTCATTTGTGGATTTACCCTCTGAAGAACCAGTCCTGCCCTCTAATAATAAATAGATTTATTGACCATTTACTATGTGCCAAGCCCTGTTCTAAGGACTTTAAAGATATTTAATCCTCATAGCTATCTTATGAGGCCATCTATTATTAATGTCTTCATTTTTTAGTTGAAGAAACTGGCTTAGGAAAGTCAGTTAAGTTTTTCAAGGTCAACCTACCAATCAGGAACAGAACCAAATTAAAAGCCAAGCTTTCGACTCTTGTTTTAAAATACCTCAGTAAGCTGACAGGACTTCATCAGGGCCTGGTCCACGTTTGCCTGTGTACACCTTTATTATGCTTCATTTAGAACGTACTGAGAATTGTCTTGCTGACAGCCAGCACCAAACCTGGCACACAATCGTTGTTCAATATTTCAATGCTTGATAAATATTTGAATGCCGAAAAAACTAAGATCCAGGATTGCCATCACATGTAAAAACAGGTAAATTTTGAAGATATATTTGCACACCCATGCTCATTGCAACATTATTTATAATAGCCAAGAGGTAGAAGCAACCTCTTGGCTAAATGTCCCTCAATAGATGAATGGGAAAAGAAAAAGTCCTTTGCCCACTTTTTAATCAAGCTACCTGGGTTTTGTTGTTGTTGTTATCATTATCGTCATTGAGCTATGGGAGTTCCTTATATATTTTGGATGCGAGCAGTGAACAATTGGACATTGAAATTTTTAAAATACCGTTCAGCAGCAAATAAATAAATAAATACATAAATAAATAAATACATACATACATAGGGATAAATTTGACCAAAAATGTGAAAGACATATAAGCTGAAAATCACAAAACATTGTAAGAGAAATTAATGGTCTAAATACAGAAATATATTGTGTACATAGATCAGAAGATTTGGTATTTTTAAGATGCCATTTACCTCTGATTTGATCTGTAATTTTAAAGCCAAGTCCAATAAAAATCATAGAAGGGTCTTTTTTTAATGTGTGGAAATTACCAAGCAAATTTTAAATTTATATGGAAATGCAAAAGGACCTAGAGTAGCCAAAACTTTGATCAAGAAGAGCAAAGTTGATATACTACCTGATTTTAAGACATTTCATCAAAGTAGATAAATGGATGACAAAATAAGCAAATGAAAAATGCTAAACATCATTATTCATTAGGGAAATGCAAATTAGAAGTACAATGAGATCTCACTGTATGCCCTCGTTACTAGAATGGCTAAAAGTAAAAAGACTGATTGTACAAAGTGTAGGGAAGGATGTGAAACAACTGGAATCCTCACATACAGCATGTTGGGTATGTAGAATGTTAAACCTATTTTGGAAAACAGATTGCCGTTTCCTAAACAGCTCAATGTACACCTGCCTTATGACCCAGCTATTCCACTCCTAGGTTTTTCCCCACAAAGACTTGTACATGAATGTTCATAGTAGCATTATTTGTAGTTGACCTAAACTGGACACAACCCAAATGTCCATTAACAGGTGAATGGAAAACAAATTGTGGTGTATTCACACAATGAAATACTTCTCAGAAGTAAGAAGGAATGAATGGTTGATACATTCAACAACATGGATGAATCTCAAAGAATTATTCTGAGTGAAAAAAGCCAGGACACCCCCCTCCCAAATACAACTGTGTGATTTCACTGATACAAAATTCTGGAAAATCCAAATTGTAGTGACAAAAAGCAGATCAGTGGTTGTTTGAAGACAGAGGTGGGGTGGAATGAAAAAGGGGCAGCAGAGATGAGTAGGAGGATGGAATCACAAAGGGATAGGAGGAAACTTTTGGGTGTGATGGATATGTTAATTTTCTTGATTATAGTTATAGCTTCACAGGTGTATACATGTGTCAAAACTTCTTATAGTGTGCACTTTTCTTATGTGCAGTTTATTGAATGCCAATTACTCCTCAATAAAGTTGGGGGAAAAGGCATATCTACTTAATTTTTTTTTCACCAGCTAAATGGTCTTATTCATGAATAGTGAAGAATTACAATTTGGGACAAGAAAGCTATAGGAAAACCTCAGGCATGTCCAGCAAGAAAACGAGGGGAATGTTACTTTATAGGAAAAAAGGAGGAAGCTGGGAGGGGTTGTTCTGAATGAATGTTCATTTGGAAGAAAGCAGAGTTCAGGATAGTGCAGCATTTCCCATTGGCCGGACTTGTTGCTGGCCAAGGAGAACTCGACTGAATTTGCAAAAGATGGCTCCTGTGGGGGTCTGTAATTGATGTGGAGCTGTGGTACATACGGGCTCCCCCTTCTGGCCTCCTGACTTCATTTTTTTTTTAATTGTTTAAGTACAATGGTCTCCATTCCTCCCTCCAGCTCCCCCCGCCCCCATCCGTCCTCCCATCCCCACATCTCACCCTCGATCCCACCTCACTTTGACTTTCTATTTAAATTTTAAGAGACTTTCTATTTCAGCCTAATCCGAGCCTTGGAGCCAGGAATGTCACTTTACAGATAGCCTTCAATTTTATAAAATGGGACCATTGCTCCTTTTTATACCTCGTGGAGAGTGTAGTGAGGGTTGGATATAGGAGAGACTATAAGATTATTTAATTTAAATTAACATTAAATTAGTATAAGTATTGATCTCTCTAGATAGTTCCTTCTCATTTCTACAGATTTTTCTTAACTTTGCACAAGCATAATGAATTAATTGAAATGTAAAACAATAAGACACTAATAAAAATTATCTTAAAAACCAGAGTTCAAGAAATTAAAAATTCTCTCTGGAACTCCTATTATGAATTTTTGTAGCAGGATAGGGAAATGTTTCTTCTTCTTCTTCTTTTTTTTTTTTTTTTTACATATTAAAAAGAGTGTAGGAAAAATGTTTATAGGATACCATAAATATGAGTTGTGGAAGAAGAAACCTCTAATTCTTTTATAAGAAGGATTCCTTTTTAACAAGTCTTGCAGTTTGTAATGGGTAGTCAGAATTTCATAATTTATGTAGGATTTTCCAGTTAAAACACGGAAGCTTCAATAAAATTCTAGTAAACACCATGCTGTAGTAAAGACTGGGAGAATTTGAGAGACTTTTCAAATATTTTTCTAGGAAAGTATGTCCAATGCCTCCTGCTTTTTGTAAGGTCACTAAACATCTGTGACAGGACTGTGGGAATATATGAGGTGACTTTTAGTGGTTTAAGTATTGTAAACATTTTTAACTTCCTGTTGTAATTCATAAAATCATCTAGTCCAACATTCTTCTTTTATAGATGAGGAAGCTGAGGTCCAAAGATGGGAAGTGATTCAACTAAGAACTGCAGAGCAAATTAACTAAACTAAGTTAAGATCCGGATTCCTGGTCACTAGTCCTGTGCTTTTCCCCACAATACATTATTGCATTTAGTTATATCAGTGTAGAATATGGGGGAACGGCAGGTCACTCACAATTAAGAGTAAAGCTTCATCAACCTCCAGGATTCTTCTTTCTGGCTGCTTCTTCTCAAGCTCTGTCCTCTGCCTTCTGCTTTTATTTTTACACAGTTGGAGAGCTCATGCACTCATAGCTTCAATTATCATCTATATTCAGATGATTTTTTTATTTTTTAAAGATTTTATTTATTTTTAGAGAGAGGGGAGGGGAGGGA